AGCATTTTGAGAACAGAGACTCTCTGTTGTGTGCTTCTGTATTCCCGGGCACCAGGCAGAGTGCTTGGCACATCGTAGGTCCTTTTTAAGTCATTAATTAATAAAAATTCTCTCTCCCTGGCTCTGCTTCTCCTGCACGGTCCTATTGGGCTCACTAGGTCCTGACCTGTAGAACTCCCTGGGGCCCACTGTCTTTGGTACAAGCTTTCCAAAGATTTCCTTCTCCTCCCCACCAGATGCCTGGATTCAGTTTTGATCCATTGTTCCTCGCTGCTAGTCTTTGAAAGCAAGCATTGTGTTCTCATTGCTAATTTGCTTTTAACACTAAGAGTCTTGGATGGCAAGCTTGGCTCTTCTTACTGGCAGACTTTCTCACAAAGACCTAAGCTACTCATTCTGACCTTCACCTGAGCCAACAGTTTAGGCCAGGATCTGTCTGGTCTCAAAGCTTAAGCTTTGGGGCAACCAGGGTGCTGATGGAAACCTTACTGATGGAGTGACCAGAGCTTGGGGAAGATGGACTTAGAGCTGGTGAGAGCACGCCTGGAGTTTCACGCAATGCCTCATCTTAAGATAGAAATTGATTAGTGACCACGGGCATCAGAAACCATTAAAAAAAATTGGAGCAGATTTAGGTAAGAGTTGACAGAAGTCTTTGTACATTTGGATTAGAGTCCTATGGAAGAGAAATTAGCCTTGTTTTGTCCACCCATTTCCAAGCTGGTAGAAAGGACACAAAATAGAGTTGCTATAAGGGAAGCTTTGTGACTATCTCAACTGTCTGTCAATCGAATTACTACTGTAAGAAGTGATGGAGTTTTGAAATTATTATTACTATATTATTATTATTTATTACTGCAGATATTCAGAGAAGACAAGTCTACTTTAGTAGTCTTCCCCTAAACCTCAAGTTCTTCTATAACCCTAAGACTTAACTCCAAATGTCTATATTATTTACATTTAAAACATGTTAACATGACGTTAGAGTCACTCAGAACAATGATTTCGAACCCACCTGCATGTTGGTATACAGGGCGGGGCAAAAGTAAGTTTACAGTTATTTGTATGGGAAATAATGCAATAATTAGCAAATAATAATACTGTAAACCTATTTTTGCCCCACTCAGTATTTCCATACTGCTAGTATAAGTTAGAGTGCTTGTTAAAATTTGAGAGTCTGGGCTCCATCCTGGAACAGAATCTTTTGGTTAACAGTTTAGGAATCTGAATCTTAGTCTCGCCTGGAGTTTTCTGGCAGCTAGCCAACCACTTTCCTCAGCGTGTCTCCTGTTTTACAGATGAGGAAACTGAGGCAGAGAAAGGTTGTATTATACCAGGATCAGAGAGCTTGGGAGTTAACAAGTGAGACTAGAACCCAGCTCTTTTGATGTGTAAGCCACTGGGTTGTGCAGGGGAATTTGGATTGTGTGGGAAGGGTAGATAAGATGACTGAAGAGAACTCTAGTCCTCAGAGAGTTCTTGAGTGCCTACTAATATCAGCTGCTGAACTGTGCTTTCCCAGGTAGGCTAAACATCCTGTCACCTTGTGCCCCACACATTGTGATGAGAAGTTCTACTCTCTTCAGAGGGGTGGTCCCTCCCACTGCAGCCTCCTCTTCCCACTCTTCCACAGCAAACGACTCACCAGCCACTGGGTCTAGCGTCCGTTACATTGGTCATCTGAGACCTCCCTCTCTACTGTCATAGCTTCCTGTCACGTGTAAATGTCACTTTGCTTTTATGCACTTATGCATTTAATAAATATTATTGACTGCCTACTGGTATTAGTTAACAATTATTTAGTTAATATTCATACCATGTATTGTGTGCTCGCTATGTACCAGGCACTATTTTAAGTCTTTATCTGTATTAATTCATTTAATTGTATGTCAAAGGAAGAGGCTGCCTCTCAAAATCTGAAACATTTGAAGCTGGAGGTATTACTTGTTAAACTGGGAGAGCTGTACATCACTTTGAACAAAACAAGAGTTGTGCTTATATAGAGTTGTGGAAGATATGGAGTTGAAGAATTGGTGGAAATTCACATGATTTTCACATTTTGGAATTGTGGTTCCAGGAGTGAAACTTGGTGCTGCACTGATTCTCAGAGGGCAAATAACTACCAAGTAGGAAAAGAGAGTGGCAGCAGTAAAACAAGTGAGGAGGAGGGGAAGTGAGAGAGTCGTAGCTACGTGTCCTTTGATCATTCAGAGACCACAAACTCAGTTTTGACTAGTTGCCCCTCTTCCCCAGGTTCGTCTTTCAGTTCCTACTGTCTCTTCTCTAGCCCATGACTTGTGTTCCACGTCTCCTGCTTGCTTAGGTCTGGTAATCTGCCATGACATTTCAGAGGAAGGGGGCATTGTCACTGGCGGTGGCTTCATTTATTATTTAATAACACAAATATTTATCAGACTCCTACAATCAACCAGGCACTTCCTGGATGCTGCAAAAACCAATAGATACAAGTTCATGTTTTCATAGATCTTAGCCTATATTAAAGAGACATATATTTAAACAAATAAATGAATCTATGCATATTGGATGTCACATGGTAGTCACTGCTCTTGAATCAAATAGAGAAGGGAAGAAGGTGGGAGAGGGAAGTGGTTGCTGTTTTAAGTAGAGTTATCAATGAAGGCCTCACTGAGCAGCTGATGTTTAAAGACAGAGTCAAAGAATATCAAAGAAACCAAAGTGGTGGGTGAGCTTAGAAGATAGTAATAAGAGATGAAGACTGAGATCCAAGAGATAATGGGCTCATTTAGGGCCATAGAGATCATTGTAAGGACTTGAAATTTTGCTTTAATGAGATAAATGGCCATTGTATGGTTTGAGCAGAATAGTCATCATGTGATCTGAATTATCTATTCAAAGGAATGTAGGAGCTACTAAGTTGAGAACAGTCCACATGGAATGCAGGGTACTGGTGCAGGCTACGGGTGTTAGTTGGCAGGCTGCTGCTCTAGTCTAAGCATGTGATGGTGGTTTGGACTAAGCATTTGATGGTTTCAGGGAAGGGTATAATAAAAAGCAGTCATATTCTGGCTACAGGGAAGATTCCTTCTATTGAAAGACTTTACTATTAACCATTATAACTCTCACAGTTAGATGGAAGTCCTGGGAATACATCCCTAAAGATTACAGCTTGACCTACTATACAATCTGCAGAGGATCCTTTTCCAATTTGGGAAAATGAAGGGGGAGGAAGAGTCATGTGCTCACATCTGGCAGTAGAAATAAAACATCAAGAAAAGAGGAATAATCTATACCCAGTTTTTATAGTATTTTCTTCTAGATAGTTGTATGAATTATAGGTATTTCTTTAACTGATTGCTGTGGAGGCAGAGATGATTTTAATTCCTATTTCACTGGTTACAAGTAGGCATTTGACATTTTTTTAGTGAGTGAGAGAGGGGCGGGGGAGCCGGGCTCGGATCTGAGAGGGCTGCTACATGGCTGCTATTCCCTGGGCAATAAAAACCTGAAATCCTACTAATGAGGTTTAAAAAAAAAAACACCCTAACTTTTCCCGTGTGCTTAATAATAGCACTGCCTACTGACATAATCAGGGTTCCCTGAATAATTGCCCTCTTTTCCAGTTTATTTTTAGCATCTAAAATTGGGCAGGGGGAGGAAAGTGACTTTAGGTATAAAGTATTTCCATATGAAAGTGCAATTCCATCGCTTCAACATTCAGCCCTGAGCCACGGTAAATACATCTTTTCAAGTGAAAGGTAAGTGAATGTGAAGGATGGAGCTGAAATTCCACATGGGGGCTCTGCGTGGTTCACCCTTTAGGGTGAGGGTAGAAGACTGAGCTCTTGCTGCAGATTCCGTCTTCCCCAAATTGGGGGATGTTCCCGTGTTTCTCCATCTGCCTCCGGGGACACCATGTGAATTTGCCAGCAACAGAATGAAAGGGTTTCTAAACCACAGGGTTTTATCAAACCATTTAACGTTGAGAAGACAGACTCAGCAGCATAACGAAGGTTGATACGCTTAGAGCATTCAGTCAATATAAAAACATTGGAAATACAGTTAGACCATCAGCATATTTAAGGTGACCTTACAAAGTATAAGTACGGCTCTGTGCTAGGTGCAGTGCTGAAAAATACTTAAACATTTGATTTCTGCCAATTTTCACAACTAAATGAACACGAACATTATAAGGAGGAGAGAGATACTATTTAGAAATAGAATAACATAAAGGCTTGTGGCAGATATTGGTTGACTATCTGGATGAAGTTGCCAAAATTATTCTTGTGGAGGGTTATCCTTTTTTCTTAGATATAAATTTCCATGCTGACTTTTAACCTTTAGTCACTGGCCGGAAGTTGAACTGTCCTCAAAGTGTTCTGCCACATCCCTCTGCCTGTCCTAAACTGCAAGTTTGAGACATTTAAAGGCATTAAATACAGGGCTACGCAAAGCACCAGGCGGCACATTTTCTGGTAACCCCATTCAGTAGGAAGTGGCTGCCGAGATTTGAGACGGGCTCTCGGGGACAAAGCACTGTCTATGATATAGACGGTCACTTAAACATAAGCTAAAAATATAAAGTTAAGAAAAGTGACATTTTGATATAGTTTTTTTCTTCTTTAGGCATGACTTAATAGCAGGAAATGTGTGGCAATCTTTAAAAAAGTACAAGAAAGGTGTGTGCATGAAGGAGACACGGGCTTGTGTTTGCAAAGATCTTTTGTACCTATGTTTGAAAGGTGTTTGCAAAGAGTGAGTAAAATGGGTGGATTTGCTTTTTTTTTTTTTAGCTTCTCATTCCCTGATGTTAAACAAGATGCTGCAGCAATGGAACATAGACATTTCTGTCCCTAACTCTACTGCTGGGCACCGTATAAAAAACTGTCCACTTCAGTGCTGCAGGTGTATTGAAACAAAGCATGCCGTTTGAAGCAGGGGTGGTGATTCATGTTTTAGTCTGTGTTTGGTTGTGGCCTAATTGAAATGTCTCTCAAACACAATTTGTTTGTTGCTTCCAGGAGATATTGGTCAACAAGAGATGGTTCCAACTAAGAAGAGCACTGTTCTCGTGGATGGGGTGATACTGAATGGTCCCACAACAGATGCAAAAGCAGGGGAAAAATTTGTTGAAGAGGCCTGTAGGCTAATAATGGAAGAGGTGGTTCTGAAGGCTACAGATGTCAATGAGAAGGTAAAAGAAAAAAGCCTATAAGAAATCCCAGGAATGGGAAAGATCCCCCTCACCCCCCAGAAATCTGGATGGCTAGATGTAAGGGAAATGGTAAGAACACACTTTCATTTTCTCTATACCTGTGTTTCAAGGGGTTGCTCAAATATGAGTGTTTGGACTCATTTCCCCTGACTCCCCACATCCCCATAAGGGTTAACGCTGAACTTTTTTTAAAATTTTCACCCAAAGATACTTTGTTCCATTTATCTTCAGACAGTGGGGGAGAGAAAAAGAGAGAGAGAGAGAGCAGGAAAGAGAGAAACATCGACGTGAGAGAAACACATGGATTGGTTGTCTCCTGCATGACCCCGACCAGGGCATGGGACCTAACTGCAACTGAGACACGTGTCCTTGACCAGAATCGAGCCCTTGACTCTTTGGTCTGTGGGCCGATGCTCTAACCACTGAGCCAAACCGGCCAGGGCAACACTTAACTCTTAACAACCATTATTTGTTGGCAGATTGGCAGGGTTCAAGAATTTAGGCATATAAGGCTTTCATTCCTAGATCATAATACAGGTGATAAATAACCCGATGGTCTGATTTATACACTCTCTAAAACACACTTTGCTCTCCATTTTTTGGTATAGTTCTTTATGTAGCGAGTAAAAACATATAAGGCATATAAGGTAGAAAGGGTGTGAAAACTTTTAAAGTTTATCTGGGGGTTCTCACCAGGAGCTTGTCTGAGTTTAGATCAGAAATCTTGGGTTGTTAAATCTGACCTCTGACTGGTAACAGTTATTGGTTTGAGGTTTCAAATGAAGGTTCAAAATCGGATTCAAAATGATATGGGAACTACTACGAATAACATTTCCTCCTGAGTACTTACAATGGGCCAGGTGTTGTTCTAAGGACTACTCCACATGTTTTTATCTGTTTAATCCTTAAAAACCCCTAAGAAGCAGGTACTCTTTATTAACTCCATTTTAAAAAAGAGGGGAAAACAATGAGACCAAAGAAGTCAAGTACTTTGCCCAAGGTCACATGCTAGTAAGATCAGAGTTGGCACTAAAACCCAGGCAGTCTGACTTCAGCCTCTGTGCCTTTAACTACTCAAAATCCCTAGATTACCCTTTCTCACATTGATCACCTTTTATAATGGAACTGGATTACCAACAACTAGATCAACAAACAGGAGAGATGGAGAGATTTTTATTCCAATCCTATTAGTCAGAAATAAATGTCATTTAAAAAAATCATTTTGAATGTGAAGTGGAATTTATTCTGAATTTATGACCGCATGCATTTGGGAACGCTAATACAAAAATAGATCGAAATGACCAGCGAACTTTGAATAGTTATGTTCAATGCAAAATCACTGATATTTCCTGATCACATATTTATAATTGCCCATTTTCTGATCTTACCCATACTTGTGAAATATTTCGCACCTGCTTTACTTTGGAGCACACTGCTTCCGTGGTGAGATGGCTTTTTAAGTTGGCCTTTAGTCAGTCATTAAATATTAACTCAGTGTTAGCTATGGGTAAGGCATCATACTTGACCCTGGGGAATATAAAGGAAAATAAGATAAAGGCTCAGCTTTGAACGGAATCTATAATCTAATTGGAAGAATAGTTCTCACTGGAAAAGAGAGCAGGGGGTTCCCAGTAGGAATGTGCCAAATGTTCGGTGACTGGGGCTGACCTTGGGGATGGATTTCACAGAGGGGTGAGCATTTTGAGCTTTGCTGTGGAATTGGAAGGTTAAGTATTATTCTGATGGGCAGAGAGAAGTCAGCTCCTGTGTGTTGAAGGAAGCAGGAGGGTAACTATGGGAAGAGAGTCGCAAAAGAACAAGATGCATTTGACATGCTAAGGGGAAATTCTGCCTAGAAAGAAGTGTTCATGAGGGAACCAATGGGAGACGAGATGAGAAGGGGAAGCTTGCGGTCCTAAGCTATCAATGAAGGGGCCACAAGTCAATCCCAATACAGCAGATGTGTAGGCTGTCCATGTGAACGTGGGTGGAGCTTGTTGGGGCTGAGAGAGAGGGTGAGGTTTTTATGCCACTAACTTAGCCTACTTTGTCAGAGATCCACAGGGTACCATTAAAAGGTGAGGGGGTGGGGATAGTGAAGGGTAAAGGGAGTCCAATATATGGTAACTGAAGAAGATTTGGGCACACAATGCAATGTACAGATGACAGAATCATATACTTGAAACCTATATAATTTCATTAAACAATGTCACCCCAATAAATTTAATTTAAAATGTTTAAAAGTAATAAGGTACTCTGTTTATACATCCCCACACTTCACGAGATGGTGACTTCTAGTATCCTCTGTGATAGACACACTTTCTCAGCCTCCTTAAAAAAAAAAAGAATTACAATTTACATTCAGTAAAATTTACTCTTTTGTGTGTATTGTTCTGTGAATTTTGAAAAGTCATGTAACCATCACCACAGTCAAGATATAGAACAGTTCTATTACCTCCCAGGTTTTCCTGTGCCCCTCTGTATTAACACCCTCTTCTCAACTCTAGACCCTGGCGACCACTGATCTGTTTTCTCCCCCTGTGGTTTTCATCTCTTCCAGAATGGGAGAGAGATAGAATCATATCACACGTAGCATTTGAGTCTTGCTATTTTCCCTCAGCAGAACTGTATTTGAGATTCATTTGTGGTGTTGCGTGTGTCAGTCATTAATACTTTTCATTGTTCCAGTTGCTTTTGATTTACCTCTGCCTGTTGTAGTCCTAACATCAGAGTTTAATTTCATACCTCTTGGGCAACTTGGTTATTTCCTCCTGTTTCCCCCAACTTGCCACTGCTTAGTCTCCTTACTTGCTAACTACTCCCTGTCTCTCTCTTCTCCTCCAGAGCCAAACTCTTTAAAGACTGTCTACCTCCCTCTATTTCCTCACCTCCTACACCCTCACTGCGCAGCAATCTGGCCTCTACTCCTACCTCTAAGTCACACCGCTCTTGCCAAGAACACCTCCTTGTTGATCACACCCGTGAGCACGTCTCAATCTTTATCTAATTTAGCTCCTCACTAGGATATGACAGTGATGACTCTCTTCTTCTTCTTAGAACATTCTTTTTTCTTTGTTTTAATAGCACTAAACTTTTCTAGGATTCTCCCTGCCTCTTCTACCTCACACATGAGCTCCTCTCCCTTTGTCCACTTCGTAAGTGTTGGTATTGCTCAGGTGAGATCCTGTACCCTTTTCTCTTCTCTGTAGGTTCTCTCTGAGCCGTGTCAACCATTCTAGTTGATTGCAGTGTATGCCTGAACCTTTCTCCCTCATCTTTCACAGGAGTTCCAGGCCAACTGCTGCAACCCTGGGGATGTACTGAGAATCCTTAGACTAAATATTCTCGAAACTCACCACCCACTTCCTTCCCAGAACCTCATACTTCTCCCTATCACCCCCATCCACCCATGTATGCAAGCTAAAGACCTCAGGATTATCCTTGGTTATTCCTTTCCCTCATCCTCACTGTGAAATTGATTTCCAAGTTCTATTGATTCCACATTTTAAATATCTCTAGAAATAATCCCTTCTTATAGTATCAACCCTCGTCCAGCTTACCACCTTCTCTTGCCTGGTTGATTACAGTAACCTTAATTTCCAATTTTACTTAGAATCTCCAGCAAAAACTATTGTCCAAAACACAAATATAATCATATCATTTCCCTGTCCAAAACATTCCAGTGGCTTCCTTAGGGCCAAGTTCACACTCTGCAACATGCCACATAAAGCCTGTCATGATATGTTTTGTTTGTTTCTATATTCATTCATTTATGTATTCATTCATCACATTTTTACTGAGCATCCCCCTACATGGAAGGCTCTTTATTAATTACTTGGGACCAGTGTACAAACAGGCTGGTGTGTTTCTACTCTCATGGAGATTATATAGGATATAATACATGTTGGAAGGTGATACGTGCTGCAGAAAAATGAAGGGTAGAAAAGTTAGGGGAGATTGATGGAGATGGGGTAATGTGCAGCTTCTGATTTTTAATACAGGAGTCCGGATGACTGCCACTGCCAAAGTGACATTTGAGTAGAGCTTTGAAAGCGGTGGGGAAGTTAGCCATTGGGCTATTTGGAGGAGGAGCATTCCAGGTAGAGGGTACAACCAGTGCAAAGACCCTGAGATGGGAGCGTGCCCGGTGCATTTGAGAACAACAAGGAGGCCAGGGTGCCAGGGCAGAGCCAGCCAGGAGGAAATTAGTGCTCCGTGAGACTAGAAAAGGAACACTACCAGGGAACTAGATTGTACAGGATCGTTGAATGGACTTTGGCTTTACTTTGAAGAATATGGGGATCCACTGGAAATATCTGAGCAGAGGAATGACCATGCTAGGCTGATAGTAGACTATGTGGCAAGGATATAAGCATAGAAACTAACTAGCAGTTATTTGCTATTTCAACCTTAGTTCCTGCCTCTCCCTTCCTCATACTGCATCTCGTAGCCACACTAAACTTCACTCTTCTCATGTGCCATGAGTTCCATTGCATGTATTCCAACCTTTGTTACTTCTGTTATTTCCACCTAGAACGACCCTTGCATTACCCCAGCCCCAATCTTTGCTTGGTTCACAGTCCTCTTATTTTATGTAACAGCCTAGATATCAGTTCTTCCAGGAAATCTTTGATCTTCCACAACTAAGGTGGGGGCCCCTCCTTTGTTTAATGACTTTTGCATTACTGTTCCAGCTCTTTTCACGCTAAACTATCGTTGTGCATCGATATCTCTGTCTCTCCCACGTTTTTTCCGTTGTAGAAAGTATTACAGATGTCCCCCTTGTTTCCCCATTGACCCCTCCTTCCTGCTCCCAGCCCACCCCTGCCTTCCCCAGTGTCCCTGTCGATTGGTTGTGCACATCTGCATGTAAGTTCTTTGGTTTATCTATTCCCTCCCCTCTCACCCCATCCCTCTGAGGTTTGTCAGTCTGTTCCCTACGTGCATAATTCTGAATCTCTTTTGGATCTTATTTTGTTCATTATGTTCCACAAATAAGTGAGATCATGTGGTACTTTTCTTTCTCTGACTGGATTATTTTGTTAGCATAATACTCTCCAGGTCCTTCTATGTCATCTCAAAGGGTAAGAGGTCTCTCTCCGACTTGTCCGGAAGCTTTATAAGGGTAGAATTCATGCTTCTAACATCTTCTCAATACTTGGCTCTGATGGCTGCTCAGTTGACTGTTCCATTGCTAACCCTCCAGGTCTGTGAATGGCAGCCCCCCGAACAGCTGAAACAGCTTCTCGATTTGGAGATGAGGGACACAGGAGAGCCACCCCACAGGCTCTTGGAACTCTGCCGGGATGTCATACGCTACAGTGTCAAAACTAGTAAGAATTTACCTCCTTGACCTATACCTCCAACAAGTCCTTGCATGTCCTTCAGCAGATATTGACCTCATGGTAAAGTTGAGTATGACGATGTTTATGGGATGGGAAACTTGGATCAAAATAGAGCAGTTCTGATATATTTTTTAAATGGTCCATTTAATCCTTATTACAGATTTTCTGTAAAGGCCCAAACTAAAATGATACAAAATTGTTGGTGTCAGTGGTCACATATAAATAGTATCTGCTCCTTGGTGATCCCCACCCATTTATCATCAAGACCATATATTATTACTGCTGCTTATCATTTCTTATGATGGTCCAAACTGGCAAATGATATTTTGATTATAGAATTTTTAAGAGAATTTAAATCTTGATGGCCTAGAATATGCAAAAAAAAAAAAATATTGAAGTGGTGTCTTTACTATAAACAGGAATATATTTATTTGGAAGATACTTATTAACTCTGGGCAGTTGCTAATTACCATATTATTTTATCAGCTCTAGTAGGATCAAAGAATAAAAACCTTTAGGAAGGGATGAAAAATAAATACTGTACATGGTGAGTTTATGTTGTGATAGTTTCACAATAATGCTTAACAACTGTGATCTTTGTAAATGCAGTAACGACATCAATTTTGTGCCGAATATTATTCCAACAGACTGTTAATATCCTACATACCCAGAAAACAAGTTCTAAAAGTAGAAGGGTAACTTTCCAAAATATGTATTTCTCAGTGTCACATAAAGGTAATCTAGTGCTTAAGACCATACAGACATTTTGCTGTGTGAATCCTGACAGTGAACTAAATGTAGTGGAAGGAACATCCTGGCTAAAAACAATTGGTTTATATTCCCCTGGGAAAGCCTGGTGTATGTATCAAAAACCCACTTAGCATTTCAAAAGCAGAGATACATATCTTTTTATTATAGTGCATATCAGAAGTGTAGAATGACATTTAATGCAGTAGATTTTTCAGTTTACTGGATGTTTTCCATAATGTTACCATGGAAATCAATCATAAATTAACACAAGACTGGAAAAATATCTTATTTAAATTACTTGTATCCATGTCTGGTTTCCTTTGCCAGACTAGAGGAAGTTTTCCATGTTTTATTTTAAAAAGACATTTTCTATTGATACTTTTGTGTTTCACTGAACCCCCTAGTTGAAAGAGGAAAATAACCTAAAACCAAGTGCTGGAAGTTGTAATGAAAAGTCATTAACGGAAATGGTTCCCAAGTACTCAAAGTTGGAAATAGACCTCCCGCATCTTTGTTCTTGGTCATGCTGGGCTTCCTATGACTGAGAATGTCAAACCAGTTAGCCTGGTGTTTGGTGTGAATATTCACACTGTGGAAAGCCAAGACCTTTATGAAACCTTTTATAGGAGGGGAAAAAATAGAAAGTTGGAGCTGAAGTTGTGTGAGTCTTAAAGGGAACTTGCCTTTGAAAAAAGTTGAATCAGAAAGTTTATTCGAGTTGCACGATGAGTCATGTCTTACTCCATCTCCATAGTGCCAGTTGCATTATGAAAAATGGTCCCAATGAAAAGGCCCCCATGGCCAGTGGCCTGAAGTGAACCCTGTTAGTGAGAAAAATGCGTGTACATTTAGAGAGGTTCATGTTGATATGTTCGGAGGATTAAGGTAGTAGGCTTTGATATTTGATACATGTACAGTGTTCAAATAACTCATTTCTTGAGGGTTTCAGTTTGGGTCCAGGTTGTAGAAAGAAAGGAACAGGCAAACCAAGTTCATGAAAGATTGGTCAAGTTTTACTCAGAAACATGTTATTTATTGTTCAGTAGAAAGGGCTGGGAGGTAAGTCTTCGACATTTGTTCCCATTGTGCATGATTAAGTTTTTAATGCTTATATAAAAACTGAGGAGTAATTTGCATTTAGTACACTGACAAATCATAATGTCTTAGATTGATTAATTTGGACATATGTGTATGTAAGTGACTATTACCAAAACAAAAATAAAGACCATTGTCAACACTCTAGAACAGTGGTTCTCAACCTTCCTAATGCCGACCCTTTAACACAGCTCCTCATGTTGTGTGTGGGCGTATCTGCATGTGGGCGGACCTGCCTGGGGACGGATAGAGGAGCGGTGTCTCGGTTCCTAAGACCATCGGAAATATGTGTTTTCCGATGATCATAGGTGACCCCTGTGAAAGGGTCGTTCGACCCCCAAAGGGGCCACGACCCATAGGTTGAGAACCGCTGTTCTAGAGGCTCCTAAGGACCCTTTCTAATCAACATTTTCTTCCCACAGGTACCCAGGATTCTAACTTCTATCTCCATAATCAGCTTTGCCTGATACTGAGTGTCTATAAGTGGAATTATGCAGCAATACTCTTTTGTGTCCAGTTGCTTTTATTGTCTAAAAGATTCATTTATGTTATTGCTATACAGTATTGATAGTTTTTTTTTTCTTTTTTATTGCTGTGTAGATGAATACTCTGTTTAAATTTACAGATCATCGAAGATTTTTCAACCAGTTGTATGCTGGACTTGATTATTACTCCTTAGTGGCCCGATTTATGACAGAAGCATTAAATCCAAGTGTGTAAGTATCTTATCCTGGAATTTTATACCAAATGTGGATTAGAGATGTTTTTTAGGTAGATGAAGTTTTATTTTATGAATTTCTAGTTAATGGTTTCATTTGTGTAGTGTCATTATAAACAACGGAATAGTCTTATGACAGTAGTATTCAAAGAGCTGTTTGATTTGATAGTGGTACTGCGAGAGGATAAGGCAGGTATAATCTCCATTTAACAGATGAGAAAATTGAGTAAGCAACTTTTAATTTATTCCTGCATGAAAAGCCACATCTGTGCTAAGCCCTGGAGAGATACTTTGGGTAAAAACAAACCTTGACTTTGCTTTTATGAAGCAAAATATCTAGTGAGATAAAAATGCTCCGTGCAAATGAATCAAAATGTGTACAAAAATTAATTTAAAATTTTAATTCTCATGTGAAGGAGAGGTGCATGATGCTATAGATAAAACTGGGACAATTTTTCCTAATTGGGAGCTCTAGGAAGTCCTCCTTTAGGAAGTGGTAGCTAAGAGCTGAAGGGTAAATAAAAACTAACAAGTTAGAAACAGGAGGGATGAGGTCTAAGAAGAAGGAACAGCATATACAAAGGTCCTGTGGCAGAAGACAGCATGACACATGCTGTGAACTGAAAGGTCAATATGGGTGCAGCTGAGAGAACTATGGAGAGTGTAATGAAAGATTGGAGAGATAGATAGGAGCCAGACCTGTACCACCCAGGGATCCATGTTTATGAGTTATTGTAAATACACTGGAAAGCCATCGAAGGTTTCTAAATTATTAGGTGCCATTCGCTTTTTGAAAATATCACTTGAAACATGGAGAGAAGATTGGAGGGGACCAAGTAGGAGGGCATTACCTCAGGTGAGAGATGATAAGAGCCTGGACTTAGATGGCTAGTGGTAGGAACAGAGACAAAAAAAAAAATGTGTTTAGAAGATAATCAGAAAGACTAAATAATATGTTGGATCATGGAAATGAGGAAATGAGGGAGATTATGAGATGATGCCTGGATTTCTGACCTTCATAGCATGGTTGAAGGTCATGTCATTCACTGAGACAAAGCCCTGCGAGAGGGGACCAGTTTCCAGGTATATGGTAAAAAAGGCAAGAGCCAGAATTAAATTTTCAATTGTGAGCATTTGAGTTTGCACTGATGTTGCGATATCTAAGACTATATATCCCACCAAGCTGAGAGAGATATGGGACTAAAATGCTGATATCTATATGAAAATGATAAACGTGAGGGTTACTGGTGAGCGATGGCAGCTGGAACAGGGGGCAAGGCTGAGATTCCTTAGGTCAGTGATTCTCAACCCTTTCTGCTCATTACAATCAACCTGGGAGCTTTCTTGTTTTTTAAACTGACGCCTGGGTCCCAAACCAGATTCATTAAATGTGAATTTCTGTGGGTGTGTTTAACAAGTGATTTTAAGGAGAAGGATGGAGACACTTTGAAAACAAACCCGGAGGTGGAGAAGCCCCGCCTGTGGCACAGGACACAGAGTGAGGAGAGAGGAGGGCTCAGGACCGGGTCTTAGGAGGAGGAAGGTCGGCCTGCAATGGAGAGAGAGGAGAAAACCAAGCAGGGAAGCGTGGAAGCCACGGAGGAGAGTGTGTGTAGACTCACGTGTTGCCGAGCATTTAACTAAACCAGAGACTAAAACATGTGCCCTGAATTAGCCACGCGATGCCATGGACGACTCCGGGTAGAGAAGTTTTGGTGGAGTACTGGGAGACTGGGTTATAATGAGGAGAGGAGTTAAAGCGGTAGACAAGGCAGAAGAGACAGTAAAATCACACAATTCTGTGAGCCTTCCCTTGTATGTCCTGGGTTTTCTAATGTCTCATCTGAGTTGTTTTAACTGAAATCTTTAGAGGTCTTTGAAGTGCTAAATTGCTGCTCAGCTGGACAATCCACTCAGAAGGTGACCACGCCATGGGGACACTCTCTGTTGTCCTTTCCTCCCCCTCCTGACCTATTCCTATTGAGTTAGTTTTCAAAGACAGGTTTAGTATTATTTTTTTTCTTACAAAAAAGTGAATGATTATTTCACATTTTAGGTACACATCAACATATATACTCCCCTCCCACGCACACATTTTTGATATATGTAAACTGTTTTCCTAGCATGGTTGACAAATAGAACCTAGATTGCTTGTAAAATGACGTAATGTCTGTAGAGTGCTTGGCACGTGGTGAGGTGATGCATAGTACATAGTTTTGTTTTGTTTTTCTTCTTCCCAAAGTTTTCCCTTCCAGATGCTAAAATCACTGCATTCAATTCTGTGACTATAGATCTAAATGTGTCTGCTTAGCTCACATATTTAGAGTACACATATATTCAGGTACAATTTCATGCAATCTCTTAATTGTTAGAGAAGGAGGTTGTAGATATTGAGTCATCTTCAAATTATTTGGAGACAGAAGACTGAGGCGTTACAAAACTGGGCATGCTTACTGGCCCAGGTGGGGTTCCCGAAGAAGCTGCATGAGATGGAACTGAGTGAGCATGATGTTTATTAAGGAATACCCTCAGGGTCGATACGGGTGATGCGAGGGGCAGGAAGCAGAGGTGGGCAGAGATAGGAACCAAGCTGCCATGCAGGCTCAGGGACCATCGAGGCTGACCCCATGGAGATTTCTGGAGCTACAATGAATGCCCTTTAGATTGGTCTAGAGTTGGACCCACATGGCCAGGCCTTTATACCTCAGGTGGACCGACATCAGGTGTAGACCACCACAGGAAAGGGTTTGACCTTAGGGAAGGTGGCTCCTTGCAGCTGAGAAGATTCCTGGTGGTGTTAGCTCAGCATTGCTCTCTGACTACAGCCTTTCAGCCGGAAGCAACAAATCCTTCATTGAAAGGGGATCTGGGTAGTGCTTTGCAGTAAAATCATCCCATAATGAGAGATGTCCCACAGAGCACTTCCCATTTGTACGAACACGGAGTGTGGTGGAGGAGGCTACAATCCAGGATGGGTTGTTTCCATGTAGAATATCCAGAGCTGACTGTTAGGGTACTCATCATAGTAACCTAATAAAGCCTGGTTACCATGACAGTGGTTTTTCTTCAGCCAGCATCCAAAGGATCATCCAAAGAGTGAAATGGCCACTGCTCATGACTAATGCAGAGAATCCAGGTGCACACCCTTCATCTCTCCCAATGGAATTGAGGCTTTCTGTAAATTAAGACTGCTGCAGTAGCTTGCATATCCCTAAGCCACCTGCTATTTGTCTAACCACGACTAGTACTGTCACTGATTACCTATTTCCCTGTTTCCAATCGACGTTTCCAAAGACTCTACCTACGCTTAAACAGCTACTTGGTTTAATGAAACTCTTTGTGCATTTCTTGGGACACCAAAGGGATGGTTTGACTCCAGTCATAGAAGTGAAGTATTTTTTATATCTATCTAGTTATACATATGAGGTGTCCCCAGTGTTTCTGTTAGTGGAAGAAGCGGTTCTGAAGAAAATGATTGAATTTATTGGCTGGAAAGAAGGGGATGGAATATTTAACCCAGGTAAGTACAATTAGTTATTGCCATCTTCCTTCCACTACAAGCATCTGAAAATATAGTAATGTGTTATATGAAGAACAACTCCATACAGATTTCCACATCACAAAAAGTTGAATATTAATAATGCCACTTAGGGGGACCCTAGCTTGCTCCTCTCTCCAGGGTGATAATATTTTATGTAATGCTAAATAAATGACATAAATGCCAAATAAATATCTACAATTTAGGATTGATATCTAACACCTATAAAATGAATTTACCTACTGTTGGGAATTTGGAAGGGCTATAATAAGGTATTTATGTTTTAAATCAATTTTACCTGAGAAGGTTCCTAAGTCACATTTTATGGATCCTACAATCTTTTTTTTTAGAAGCAGAGATGGGCGTGTATGTCCTTTTATTGATCAGATGGCAGACAGAAAGAATATAATTAACTACAGAGACTTAGATACAGAGCTCATAGATTGAAACTTTCAGTTTGGAAAAATTCTGGAATGAGAGGATAGAGAACTCTGAGATTAAACACTGCAGGAATTAGACACCAGGAAGCGTGTGAGAGCGATGGGTGGGTGGTATGGTGTTCAGGTGACTTTCCCAGTGATTTGTCGTCAGGAGGGAGAAGCCACAGCCATTTATGTGTTCCACTGTAGTCAGCACTTAGGGAGCTGTGACTTCATGCTATAAATATGCCATTTCAATTTTGTTTTTGCAGGTGGTTCAGTGTCCAATATGTATGCCATGAATTTAGCTAGATACAAATATTGTCCTGATATTAAAGAAAAGGGGCTGTCTGGGTTGCCAAGATTAATCCTTTTCACATCTGCAGAGGTAAAGAATTATTTTGGATATTAGATATAGATTTTCTGAGAATGCATTCCTTAAGAGGGCTTGTTTGTTTGCAGACTTCTGATGTGCTTTTATCCTTTCTGTGTGACTAATATGCCTACATATAATATCATATTTTATTCCAGAAGAAATTCTAATGGGTTTGATATTGGCCACCCAGTTTTGTACATCACCTTTATTTAAAATTTATAGTCTGTAATATTTTCTTTAGGAAAAGAGAACATTTCATTTGAAAGTGCTATCTCTTTCTGTGTCTCTCTTCCTTGAGTATCTCATTTATTAGAACTTAGATGATTGATACTGATCTCAGACTGTCTTCTGCTCACATTTTCTTACAGAATTGATTGCTTAGAATGACTAGCACAAGGACTTTTCAAGAATAAAGAGATATATTCAGTAATAATGAACTTCTCTATCTCTCTCTCACGCGCGTGCACACACACACGCACGCACACACATGCACACACACACACACGCACACACACACAATTGGATGTTGCCACAATCTCCTATCTCATTTTACTCTACACTCAAGTAGGGGTTCTGATTGTGGACAAGTGCAATGGCTTTGATCTAGGCTTTCTGGATTCATTTCCTGTCTCTACTTCTTACTATCTGAATGACCTTGGGTAATTTGATTAACTCCTCTGTGCCTTAGTTTACTAATTTGCAAAAATGAGCATATCGATTAGCTCTTTTATCTAGCAAGTTATCCCAAAACCCAGTGGCATAGAACTATATATATTATTGCTTACCGGTCTTGGGATAGGGTAGTTCAGCTGCTCTCGTTGGGTTCCCTTACCTGCCTGGGGTTGGCTGACCAGTGGCTGATTTAGGAGTGACTTGCCTGGGATGACCCCAGCGAGTTCTCTCTGCTCCATTGTCTCTCACCCTCCAGCAGGAGAGTCCAGGTGTGTTCTCATGTCAATGGTTCTGGGAAAGAAAACAGCATGGAAGCATACCGGGACTCTTGAGTCCTAAGCTCAGAACTGGCACCTTGTCATTTCTCCCTCGTTTTCTTGGCAAAGTCACGTCTAGGAACCCAGATCTAAGAAGTGAGAAAATATTCTACCTCTTAAGGACATTTTCTGCCAAGGCATCTGGCCAGGGGTATGGGCACAGGGAGCAGGGAGCAATTTGGGCCATTAAAGCAACCCAACAGCCACATGAGCTTAGTAGTCACTGGATAATGGGTTGTTGCAAAGATTGAATGAGTTAATGCATGTAAAGTAGCGTCTAGCACATACAAGACAGACAAAACTTAACTATGATTATTAGTGAGAGGAGAATGAGCCAGGTACAAACATGTGGTTAGAACAGATAGCACAGCTTACATGCCGTCTTACCTGGAAGATACTATTGTTTTTATTTTTTATTTTTGTGGGATTCCAGTGGGTGCCTCTGTTCATTTCACCAGTGCCTCTCTCCACATCCCTGGTAGGAAGAGAGTAGCTTCTGTACCTTCTACAATAATCCTAGGTCTCCTGTCCAACATACAAGGCTGGAAAAATCTGAAAATTCCTGTTATTTCCAGCTGGGCTTTTCTGTATCCATTTTCCTTCAAGAGCAAAAGCTACTGTATTATTGCAAAAGGACAGATTATACAAAGAGGTCTGCAGTGGAAGAAAACCTGGCCACCCCCATGTTTTCCTCCTATCCTGTCTGACCTTTGCTCTGGTTGGTTCACCGCTAAGTGTAAAGTGGGCACTGGGTGTTGGGAAGCACCTGGGAGGAATCATCTAGGCTGAGATTCTTTAGTCAGCCACCCCAGTATCCTTCTTCATGAGACATCACTTCTATAGCAAGAGAAGAATATTTGAGAATATCAACATTTGGGGAAACTACTTGGTTGTGGAGTAGAGTTTTCCTCTCCGGGTTCCAACCCCTTGGTATTTCAGTTTGAGGAAACCTAGCCTATCAGAAAGGCAAAGACCCTCCTGCATTTGGATTTCTAATTCCATGCCTGGGAAAACTAGTTAACCAGGTTCCCTGCCACCAGCTCAGTGCTTGTACGTTTGCCTTTTTCCTTCTTCATTTGATTTAAATCTTGCTAGAGTTCTTTTCCGGAATAATTTCCCTGGAAAGGAGAAGAAATTCTGCAAAAGCCTAGAATAAAGACTATGCCTAGGCAAGATCAGTAACACAGGTGTAGTTATGTAGGCTGCTGTCATAAAACACCGTGGGCAGAGCGGCTCAAACAGCAGACATGTATTCCTCATGGGCTGGGAAGTTCAAGAACAGTTGCTGGTAGATTCGGTGTCTGGTGACAGCCTACTACTTCCTGGCTTGGTGACCCCTGTGTGCTCACAGGGTCTTTCCTCTGTCCATGCTGTGGACAGAGTAAGATCCCTCTGTCTTCCTCTTCTTATAAGGGCACTAATTTCACCCTCACAGCCTAATTAAGCAACACCATCACACTGGGGGCTAGGGATTGCACACATGTTCTTGACATAACAATGTGAATTCCACAGAAAAAGCCCATAACTTGGAACACTCTGTAGCCCTGACTATACATTTTCACCCCATCCATCTAGACTCTACTTTATAGCTATTCCTTTCCCTGTTCTGCCAAACAGACGCAGGTCACAGAATTTGCATTATTTTAATTCATATTTTATGACCACCTTCACCATTTATTACAATGAATCAATTATATTTAGTTAAAAATAAAGAAGTAAATAAGGCCTTGTTTTCTAATTGGTCTTAAATCCTAACGCCAATCTTTTCGCCGTACCTCCCTTGTTTTGTGCTAGGTTTGGCTGATGGCCCTGTGGTGGTTTTTCTGCACTGCTTGTTAGGTGGCCTTATGTTCCCAGTTTTCACGCCGCCCCAGATTAACCAGGGTTATTGCTGCATCTCTGCCTTGCACCATCAAATGCAGAATATATGTACCCACCTCTGAAGGCATCTTTTGCATAATTCACGTTCTGACAGTAGTTCAGCTGTTGGTGGAGACCTGGAAGGTCATGACAATGGCCCCTGTACTGTCAACATATCCAAGGTAGCCTCTCCAGGCTAAATAGGAACCAAAGAGAAGGGGACTTTTGGGGGAAAGTAATAAAAATAATAAATGTGTGGCTAGGTTAGCAGTTGAATATGCATCCCTTGAATTTATAAAAATCCTAAGTCTGTCATTCAAATCATTTGGGAAATCAACGTATAAAGTAGTGCTCATTCGCCACTCGAAAGTGAGGGGAGAAAAGAAAGTCTTTCTGCTCCCTGGCCAGCGATCAACTGTGCTTGTTCCTCTCTAGCGGAATGCGGCTGGGGTGAGGCGGCTGAGACGCTGGGGTACATGTCTCAGGGTTGGCACCGGAGGTGCCTCGTTCACTCACCGTGTTCCTGGCCCTGCCTCTCAGGCAAGGCTGACCCGGTTCGGATGTTGTTGCAGGTGTCTCCGCAGGCCAGCAGGCACTGTCGGGATGTCATGCAGAGCGCAGAGCCGGCCACCGGGCCTCCGGCCCTGCCGCTTTAGGAACCGAACCGGCTGTGTGCTCTCGGAGAGAGACTCCTTTCCTCTCTTCCCTAGACGTAGCATCCACAGACCTTGCTCGCCCCACCACCCGGAGCCAGATCGAGCATCAAACTAGGCAGCACGAGGAGTCGAAGCGTCCAGAACGCCATCTCCAGGAGGGGGAGCGGTGGTACCCCGGGAAATGCAAGGTCCCAGAAAAAACCCTTGCTGGACAGGGACATTCCAGTGCAACCTGTCTCTCCTGCGGGCACGTGCTGTTTTAAGTTTGTAGAATGAATGAACACCCACTGAGATTTTTGAGTCTTCTGTAGACGAGAGAAACCCAGGGGGAGAGTGGGTCTTAGAACAGCCGACTTCTCTTCTGTCCGTGATGGGAGCAGCCACTGTTCGCTTCCAAATGCAGCTCTGACGGCTGCCCTCCAGCCTTCTGGGTTGTCACTTCCTTGAACGTCCTCAGCACGTTGGGAGCATTGTCCTCGTTCTCCTTTTCCCTTCCGGGGCTCTCCTCCCCTGCTGCCTCCGTATGTTTGGACTGCAGTTTGCAGACTGTTTTTAATCTGTCCCAGTGCACTTGAGATTGACGTTAGCCTCTGCTTTGACCGGCGGTACCCCAAGACAGCTCCGCCGAAGCTCTTCTGATTCTGATCACCAGTGTTTTACTTAGCACATCTATTGGATGGGGATATTTTGCTCTTTCTAAGGGCAAAGCAATGTGATTTTTCTTGTTGGCAGATGTCAGTGGGGTAGGTCACTATTTATCACCATGAAATCATTAGCTGTTTGGTTGCTAGAGCCAGAATCTCCGGTGAAATATCACTGGCCTTAGCTTTGTCACCTTAGCTATGGTGGGCTGATGTAGCAAGTCGAGAATTAATTATATTTCCATATACATCATTACTCCTCAATATGTACGGGTTCTTGCAACCACGGAAATGGATGCATCCTGCGGCATTTTGGACAGGTTCCATTTGACATTTGGAAATTAATTATTTAGGATGGTTTCATTTTTCCCGATGGTGTTACTCTGCATTTATTTTTACAGTTTTTTTTAAAGAGTTTCCAATAAAACTCTCTTGAAAAAAATTACCACATTTGAGGGAATATATCAAGTTAGGTGTGAAGACATGACTATTCTTTTAGTATATTCATACCTACATACTACATTACTAAGGTTTTTTTGGGGGGGGGTAAAATAATGTCCTTTAGCACCTTTGTTTTTCTGGCATGAAAAAGAATTAATTGACCACCTGTCCACACTAATGTGTGAAGACGGACATCTCCAATGTTTGAATGCTTTATGTAGGAGGAGGAAAGGTGCAATAATCTAAAACATACACTACTATTTCCAATAAGAAATAGATGAGACCTAATTCTAGAGCCATTAGCCTCATTCGTGCTAGGGCTGCACAAAGTAATGTGTCTATAAATTATTATTACTTTTGTTACTATGATTTTAGCCACATTCCTGTGTGTCTAACTTCAGCCTTACGTTCAATATTAAACCAAATTGGCCAAGTGTCAAATCAGCTATAACCCATTGTTTGCTCTTGAAAATAGAGACATTCTTCTGTGATCTGTGATGATAACTTTTGAGACAGAGTCTTGCCCTGGCCAGTTTGGCTCAGTGCTTAGAGTATCAGCCTGAGGTCCAGAGAGACCGGGGTTCAGTTCCCACTGAGGGCACGTACCTCAGTTGCAGTTTGTCCCCAGCCCTGGTTGGGTTGTGCAGGTGGCAGCCACTCGATGTGTCCCTTTCACATGGATGTTTCTCTCTCTCTCTCTTCCTCTCTCTCCCTCCCACTCGGTCTGAACAACAGCAACAACAAAAAATGGGAAAATGTCCTCAGGTGAGGATTAAAAAAACAAAACGAGAGAGACAGAGCCTTGCTCACTCCTTCGAGGGGTTTCGAGTTAGCAGTGGACTAGATTCTCTTTCCATTGACATGAGTCTTATTAGTAGCATCAAGGGAAACGCTTCTCAATGTTATGGAAAACAATAGCCTCCAGCTACCAAGTGCGTTCCATATGCCAGGCTCTGTGCTCAGCCCTTTGCATATATTAACCCATTTAATTCCATGACAAAGATAGAGTAGGCATTCATATGCCCACTTTATAGATTAGCGAATTGAGGCTGGAAGAGGACATAATTTGCTCAAGTTTCCATGGCTGTAACTGGGAAAACTTGGCATTAAATCCTGCTTTCTTTGACTCCAACCAAAGTCAGTGTTCTCAACCACTATAATTAGGAGCTCAGTTACATTACTACTTTATTTTGCTTTTATGCAATAATGTTTACAAGATTGGGCTCAGCCACACACCTTACGCCCATTTAGATAACAAGCAATATATTTCCATGCTACATATTCATGTCTCTGTCTTCCCCTTTGTCCCTTTTAATTTAGTGTCACTACTCCATGAAGAAGGCAGCCTCCTTTCTTGGGATTGGTACAGAGAATATTTGCTTTGTGGAGACAGATGGAAGGTAATGGGGACAGGATCTGGAAGCCTGGTGGGTGGAGGGGGAAATTCATGCTTTAAAGAAAGCAGTGCCAATGTCTGTTCACGGCTAAACATAACTGAACATCTTAAATCTGTGTCTTCTAGAGGTAAAATGATACCTGAGGAACTGGAGAAGCAAATCTCGCAAGCCAGGAAAGAGGTGAGAGGGGACAGAGGAAAAGAAAACATGCATGGATCTGGGTGTGAGGGAGAGGTTGCCAGGGAGGGGATGGAAGCACGCGACAAAGGCGGTATGCTGGACTCAGACCAGGGTAACTTATTTCCAGATGCTCTATTTCCAGGTGCTTGGCTCTTCATGTTCTGTGCAGTTTCTTGGATGTTCTCATCCCAGGTAGCCAGAGCCTATTAAAGCACTGACATCACTGTATTTTGGATTGTAGCCTAGAATTACCCTTTAAAGATTAACCCAGCCTCTCCAGCAGCCCCTCCCCTCCCCCAGCCACTCTCCTACAAAACTCCTGACTCTGAGAGTTCTGCAAGTCTGCAGGCCAAACCAATGGTCTCTGGTTGCATTCAGAGTGATTCTGGACTTCTTGATTTCCTGTATCGGGTCTGGGTCAAATATTTCAGCTCTTGCAGAATGTTTTGTTTTTCTCAGCTGCCAGAATGTATGAAGGCTGACATGTCTGTTGCTAGAGAGAGCAAGGCATGAGCATGATCACTTGGTATACTCTAGCTAGGGCTGGCCCTGACACCTGCTTTTCAGGCACGTCACGGTCTTGGCCACAGTTATCTTGCTTCTCAGAGAGAAGGTTTGCTGGCTGAGGTGCACCTACACCTTCCCAGCTCCCTCCCATCCCACCACAGTCCTCATTTTGAAAGTGGCTTCACAGTGTTCTCCTGTAACTTTCCAGTGGGTAGCAACGAAGTCAGGTGTGACTGCTGAAACATGAAAAGCCCAGCTTCCGAGCTGGACTGGAAGTATCTCTGCCCTCACAGGATTTCACACTCAGAAAAGATAGGTTCTTTTATATATTTTTAAATTTTGACATTATATTTCTGTTATTTTACTCTTTATATTTTCATTGTTTTATTATTTTAATCATCTTATCCAGAGCATGCTAGATTATTGTATTTGGTTTAAAATTCTGTACTTAAAATTTTTGCCTTAATTGTAGATGTATTGGCTTTGGGTGTGTCCTTAGATTTACATTTGTCTTTATTTTTTAAAACCCCTCCAATGACAAGTGGATTTAAAGTTGTCTGGTGGTAGAGATGATCAGATTTATGCCTCTTGGGTAAAATTCTAGATTACAACTGCCCGTTCTGATGTGAACTACAGCTATCGAATCCCAGTTTTATCTTTTTTAAACCTAGTTATATCTTTTTCTGCAGAAGTTGCTATCAAAAAGAATTTTCTTCATGTCATCAGTGCTTGTTGGTGGGGAATATTGATTGAACTTTTTGTACGGTTCATATGATTCATTCATTCATTCCTCCCTCCCTGCCCCCTCTCTTTTCCTTTCCCCCTTTCTCCCTCCCTCCCTTCCTTTCTTCCTTCTTTCCTTCCTTGAATTTTGCACTTTTTATTGAGAAAATTTCAAATAAAGAGAAAACTAATAGAATGAGCATCCATATAACCATTAATATCAACAATCATTAGTGCATGCTCCATTCTGTTTCATCTACACCCTATCCTCTCCCCCCACCACTTGATTAGTTTGAAGCGCATCCCACACACCATATCATTTGATATATAAACCTTTCAGTAGATCTATAAAAGATATGCCCTCTTTTTTTAAAAGAAGTAATACCATTATAAGAAATTATTTCTTAATACCATCAAATACCCACTCTATATTAAAATTTCTCCCATTCCCTTTAAAAAAATTTTTTTTCTTTATTGAATTAGAGAGAGAGAGAAGAAGGGAGAGGGAAGGAGAGATAGAAATATCAATGAGAGAGAACATCGATTGGCTGCCTCCTGCATGCCACCCACTGGGGATTGGGCCCACAACCTGGGCATGTGCCCAGTAGGGTGCCTGGGTCAATGCTCAACCACTGAGCCACACCATTCCCCTTTTTAAATAGTTGGTTTGTTTGAATAAAAATTCATAAAAGGTTTGTGTTGCATTAGATTGATTCATTATTTAAATCTCATCTAATGTATAATTTCCTCCTCCTCCTTTTTTTAAAACTCCTACAATCGATCTGTTGAAAAAACCAAATCCCTTACCCTTGTAGTTTTCCACATTATGAATTTTATAGATTACATCACAAATTTGAGACTCTAAATGCTCCCCTCCTCTGCACCACCCATCTGTTCTCTGTATTTCTTGTAATTTGGCAGTTAGATCTCGAGGCTTGGTGAGATTCAGATGGAAATGTTTCCAGGAGTTATTCATGGGTAAATTTTGTCCATCAGAAGGCATCTCGAGTCCCTTCCTGTGAAAACATTGATTAGTGGGTTCTGGTATGATCAGTCCGCCTGTTATAAGAGCTGTGCATCACCTCTCACCTCATGGATTTTCCTGCCATCGATGTTCGTTGTCTAGATCCATTTTTTCTTGGGTCATGTTCTAAATGGATTCTCTCATTCCTTCCTTTACTGGCAGGCGTACTACTCATCCCCATTGGGTTTCCCTAAGCAAACAGGGTTCACAGACAAGGCAGGGTAGATGTTTCCTTCTTTACCCTCATTTACTAATTTTCAGGATACTGAGCTAGTTGCCTAGCATCCCCTAAAGATCATCAAATCTTTGTTAGTATCATTAAGAACTCATGTCCTAGCATATCCGATGGGGCTTAGCCCACTGCGATCATCATTATTTCCACTGTGCACATTTTGGGTTGCTTTAACAATCGAAGTGCACAAGACTGACATAGTCTAAAGTTGAGAATCTGAAAAGAGAAGTTTTTTCAAAAGTAAAAATTGCTCTAGGCACATTTAAAAGTAGAGCAGAGGGGTGAGAGTTGGTGTATCTCCTCAGTTCTCTTTCAAGTCAGTTAAAGCTGGAACCTGGATTCACCAAGGACAAACCTCACATCTATTCTGAGATAATAATACCTGACGACTAGTTTATTTTTCTCAGTAGCTTCAGACCTAGTTCTGCTTCAAGCTTTTAACTCGGATTGTTTCAGATGTAGGAAATAGTGCATCTAGTGGTTTGTTTTTGTTTTTGTTTTCTGTTGGAATCCAATTCCCTGGCCAACCACAATCCATTAGAAATCTGTTGAGCGGTGACCTTTACTGGGTGTTGAAAACCACAGAGACAGGAGGGGCTCTGAAGTGCTTATGAAGACACAAAACTAGTATAGCCACTGCGTATCTGGGAGCGTTTTTGTCTGTGACTTTTGAAATGACAAACTTGCTTAGGGGATGCAGCTTATTGTCAGCACACCATCAGTTCTGTTACCACGGAGTTTTCTTATTAATCCCAGGAGGTACGTGAAAGGAGAAATCTGGAAGGTTAAATCCAGAATGCAAAAGTTTAATTTCAGGGACTGATATTTATAGTGAGATGGTTTAAAAGGTGAGAAAAAGTCATTAATATGCTGGAATAGCTTGCATAGGTGTTTTCTCACCGTCAGGGGGTCATAGAGTTTATGAGGGAAAGTTGAACTGTTAAGACACCTTAAATGGTTTCAGTAAATTACTTTTTTATTGCTTTTAATGACTGATGCAAATCTGGTCCTATATCCTTTAGGCCACTGACATGGTAAAGATAGGATCTGTTGGTAGCTGAGGACAGGGAGGAATTCTCAAAGCCCATGGCTCCCCAGGGACTCTGTCACCTACTGGCTCCACTTGAAGAAGTTTGGGTGTCACTGCCGTCTGCCTAAATGGCAAGTGGATTCACTGGGCACCATCACTTTGATTCCTGTGCATCTCAATTTTGAGATGTGGACCTTGCTCTGCACCACTTTACCAATGAGAAGTGATATTGCTGTCAATGGTCAGCTACATTCGAGTGAGTCTAGTTCAAATGGGACATAAACATCTTTTATAAGAATACAAAAGCTAAAACTGAGGGAGAATATGATTCCATCCTAAATGGAGGTAAAAATGAATTGAATGGGCAGTAAACCTCTACCTAGTGGCCATGAATTCTCTTGTGGGGCCAAGGTGCTGGCTGGAATTACCGCTCATCTCTGCATGTATCCCTCATCCCCCCTTCTCTCCATTTCCTTCCAACTCCTGTCCACTCTGCAAGGTGCAGCCATCAGCTAGATGAGGAGAAATGACCACGGTAGGAGCTATGCAGGTTCTCTTCCAGCATGTTCTAAGAGTTTCTCTGTTGTAGCACCTGTTTCGAAGAAGGTATCTAGTGAGGTTACCTTAATCCCTCTGATTTCAAATTGGTATCTGACACATTCTTTGTTTGGTAACTGCACTTACTTCACAAGGAGACAAGCACACAGGCATGCATGGTTGCATGGTTTATCCCTGGAGCTGTCTGTCTGTCTTCCTAACGTCCCTTTTCACCTTGGACAAGGCTAACCATGTTGGCATTCTGGAGGCCCATCGAATCTCCCCAAGGAGTTAGGAATCACACGGAATACCAGTTTTCCATTGTGGAAGAGGTTATTTACTTTCCATCTGGGAAAGCGAAGAACAGGAAATGCTGTAGAAAGAAATGAGACTAAAAATACTGAGTTGGGACAAAGGGACTACTATCGTCATAGCACTTTCTGTTTCCTTCACCTCTTTATAATATGAGGCTATATAGTGGAGAAGTTTAGAGACACGAACTGAGTTAATGATAATCTCCAAAGGAGCCAAATACATTTCTGGATATATTATAACTTTGTAATTTTTCAACCTGTTATAGGACACATTTAGAGGTGATGGTGACAATTCTGCCGTGTGGGTCTTTTTCACAGGGAACAGCACCGTTTCTCGTCTGTGCTACTTCAGGCACGACTGTGTTGGGCGCGTTTGATCCCCTGGATGAAATAGCGGATGTCTGCGAGAGGCACGGCCTCTGGCTTCACGTGGATGTAAGTTCACCTCCATGTACTCATCCGTTCAACTCCTTAGTCTTTGTGCAACGTTGGTGGGACATTTTTAATATCCTCCGAAACTAGATGTGAGGTCCCCAGCTACGTTTTTAAAATTTCTAATTATGGGAAATTGATGTTTTTTTTGTGTGTGAGGTATAAAGAAGATTATTCTAAGACTTGATGTAAATTTTGTTTCGGTTTTCTGGATTCCATTTTATTTCCTCTTCTCCCATGGACCATTTTCTTTGGTCCCTTGAATCTACTGTCATTGAGACAGCATGGTGAAGGGCCCATTTTGGAGTCAAGAGACTTTGGATTCAAATTAGCCTCTTTTTTTCACTGTGACCTCAGCTCTCTGGGCTTTGTTTCTTCATCTGTAAAGAGGGCGATGGCTGATGTGGTCTGCAAAGTAACTTTTAGCTTTAAAATTATACCAATCGGCCAAAAAATGTGAAAAGCCACACCACATAATGTCATGCTCTGATTAAAGCAGGTTTTATCTAGATCTATTATAGATAATTATTTGAGAGGGACTGGGATAACTTACATTTTTCATAACCTTTTTCACTTAAAGGATTGGGTTTTTTTCCTAATTAATTTTGTAAGTCCTGGGGTTATTTATAACACGCTTTTTCTTAATTAAAGGTAACTCTTAAAATGCTATTTATCTAACATGAAAAGGTTGAATTCAGCCATGTATAAATGCTTGTTGAGCATTTTATTTTATTTGTGTGTGTGTGTGAAATTGGGAGTTAATTACTTTGATTCAGCCCAATAGAAGGGACTGTTGAATATGCTGATGAAACTTTAGGGAACCTTTCACTGGTGAGTGGTTCCTAGCCTCCTCCTCAGAAAAAAAAGAAAGGACAATACTTTTAACTTGCCAGATGAAAGGTAACTAAGCATTTGGAGGACATACCTACAAATAATTTTATAGTTTGGATGATTTCATGCTTTCAGAGTAAAGCATCTACATGATATGATATAGAGAGATTTTTCAGCAACTCCAGACTTTCATTGAATGTATGCTAATGTATGGTAAAAGCAGCAGAAATATAAACTCACTAGGCTTATAGGCTATATTAGTATGCCAATGGCAATATTTCAGGTAGGGTATTTGTGACGCCTTTCAATGGAATTGTAATACTTGTATCTGTTTACATTTCAACTTATATCTTATTGATTTTTATAGACTTAGAAGCATAATAATACATTATGTCCTAAAAGATAATATGAAATGAGTACTTCTGGAACTGTGGGAATAAGGGGGGGGAAATACATCAGCATTTATACTTGAAAATTCTACTGTCATAAAAAACATCAAATATGGATTATATAGTTTATATAAAATAGTAACTACAGCTATTTCTAAATTGGAAATGATATTAAAAGATTTATGGGGCTTAGAGAGAATTGTGATTTATAAGTATGAATAAAAACCTCTCCAGGTTTTCTAAAAATTAAAGGTTGAATTTTGGAAGGAAATGCTTCTATAAGGAAATATGTAAGCCACACAAATTATTCTTTTTACATGTAATGAATTTCCATAGTATTAGATTAAATTGGACAACTGTTAATCTGACCTATTAAAGAAATTATCTCTAACATAGAGACACGTTCACCCATTTTTTAATATTGCAGTGATCGCATCTGTTGATAAAGTTTCACATAGAAGCATGTAGCTATTCTACCTTTTTATACCATGCACAGCTTCATTAATTTTAGAGATTAAAAAAATGAACAAAATTAATATAATTTCTTTGATCTGTTGGAAATTTTCTAAAGAATGCTTTAAAGATACTTTAAATTATTAAAAACTCTGGTGTTTATTTTCTTTTTTAAATATAATTCTGATTCCTTATTCTTTCGGGTTTTACAAAAAACCCAGGTTGCCCTGTATATATACCACAATTTATTAATTCTAAGATACACTTAAAAAATATTTTTAACATGTCTGAAATTGGTATGTTGATACCCTTTTTTTTTTAGTAGTAGTAACAAAAATGGTGACTCTTAACATTGATAGTGGCTTAAGCTGGGTTAATTACAATGCATTTTTAAACAACTAAATAAGAGAAGTTCTAGTTTTGTTGACATTTTTTGCCTCCAGTTCTATTCTTCTTCCGTGAGAGCCGATCATCATTCCAGCCTCTGCCTCCGCCCAGGATGTCGGGGCCGGTCTAGGTCTTCTCCCAAGCTAGGCTGTAGCTGCTGCAAAGCCTCACATGCCCAGCCCCGCTTCCTCCAGCCTTTCACCCCCTCTTCAGTCCAAGGCCCAGGGGGAGTAAACACTGTATTTACAATCATGGGCTTTTACACGCTGCTGGATCTCAATTCTACCCCTGCCTCCACCTCCCCTTCAGGACTGGCCCTACGGTTCATTTATTACCTAAATAAAGAAAAAAATGTGTGTAAAATGCTAACTGTGCTAACTAGCATACAGTAATAGCTCAATAAATGATGGTTCTTGTTGAGATGGAAAACCAAGCTCCTTGTGTAGCTGACTTGTTTGATGTTTTTGCAAGTTTTGTAGTTATTTTAGAACATTCAGCAAACAGAAGTAGGACCTAACATCGGGAGTGTTGTGTTTCTCCTTTCAGTTTTTTGAGGAATAGGATTGTGGATGAGCTGTCAACCCTGCAGCCCACTCTGTAAACCAGTGGACTACTGCCTCCAAGGAATGCATGTGATTTGAAAACTTCCACCCAGCTCACAAGGATCGGGAGAACATTGTTTACTTTGGGGGGAGGAAGAGGAGGCAGAAGGTAGCACAGAGACACAAGGAGTGCAGCGGAGTGGGTGAGCCAGGTGGAAAGAGGAAGGGAGTAAACGAGTGTGTCTGAGTCTTGCTAGTTCATCCTTCCCCTAATTGTCACTGCGAGGTTCTGAATGAAGTTGGGGATAAAGGGATTGAGAAAAGGCGGCAACTCGGTGTTTAGGGTGTGTAGTAGAAGCACCAGAACATAATATGTAAATCACCTTAAAGTTTGTGAAGGTCAAGATCTCAAAATCCAGAACTGGGGTTCTTTAATGAGCAGGCCAGGGTAAAGTTTTTCCTAGAGGCTGAAGGCAGTTGTGTCTGTATCTCAGCCCAGGTAGACACGGTCTATCGGGAATGCCAGTGGGGACGAGTGCGGCAGGAAGGGAACTTGACTGACAGCCTGTATCAGTCCTGTCGCTGGGAATTATTTGGGGACTTTCATGCGTACCACCTTCAGTTCATAGACCTTTGGGAGCCCCATGGGGTTACTGGAGACTCTAGTCCGTGCAAACAGGGCTGGAAATAAGGAGACACAAGTGAGGTTTCTAGGACTCAAATTAAGAAGGGATCCACCCTTAGGGCATGCAAGAGCCCAACTCTGAGAGTGTGCCTTCTTAAATTGTGCACCTTCGGTGACACACTCACTGCAGTGTCAGCCCTGAATGAAAGAGCTATCTTTTAAGTGGGATTGAAGGCCATGCCTTATTGTTCACTGATGGGCTAGCTGTTGCGACACTCCGAGGATCATGGAGATGTCTCATTTCTTTTACCTTCCACATCTGTGGTGTACACAGTCATGCCACTTCTTCCCACGTGACACTGGGTATTCCTTATCATTATAAATTCCATAGCCTAAATTAGGATGGTCTACATCCTAGGCAGTTCCTAAACTCACCTCCTGCCTATCGTACTTCCTCACTCTCAATTATCCATGCCACACTCTACCATTTGGCCAACTGGTCATCTTCCCTAAGTTACGATGGTACTGTGAAAAATAGTATGAGCTTTGGCTCTCAGATCTGGTTTTTATTACCTGCGAAGCCTTAGATAGTTTACCTACCACCTCTGAACCTTAGTTTTTTCTATTAAAAATGGAAGTGATAATAATTCCCTTATCAGTGTAATGTTGTGCAGTGTACATAGTCTTGGAGAGCATTCAACGTAGCCCGACACTTCCCTCCTATGTCCTCACTGCAATTGCCCTTCACTGCCCAACAAATTAATCTTGGAGGTTTGCTCGATTTCAAGAACAAAACTGACTTTCTTGTTCCCCCCATTGATTCCTCCCTCCTTTCTAGACTTATTGACTATGGGATTTCCTTTCATGTTCTTATCAGTTGCTCATACTTACCTTTCCAGTGAGTAACTTCCTTAAGTCCCAGGTTTCCTTTCTTCCACTCTCACATTATTGATTTGCAAATATATCTGAAAGCTATTTGGCTGAAAAGATCTAATTTTTCAATAATAGGGTTCATTTCCACCTAGTCGAAGCTAGTTGGCTATGATTTCCTGTATTCCCTCCTGTCCACCTTGTCAAGCAGGTGCCGTATTTATTATGCAGAATGCCAGCCCTTAGTCCCTGAGTCATTGTCAACATTGGTACCTTGTGTATGGTAGAATCTTGGCTTTGTACATTTTAGATTGCAAGCTTTGAGGAGGTGTAGACGGTGTCTTTTGAACATTTTCAACCACGTGCAGCTCAACAGGTTAATATAACGATTTCTTTATGATGTGTGAATTTAAATCCTAAGGGTCAATGGGAGCCATCTGCTGTGATGAGGTTCTGATTGCCTGAGTAGAGCCAGTGGTCAGACTTTTCTAGAGCACACATTGATTAACATCAACTCCAAAAGGAGCAAGGCAGATTGAGGTTGTCACACAGGGTTTTCTATGACAATCGGCTGGTAAACAAATACCACTGGACTAACATTGTTTTGGTTCCATCAATTTCTCAACAGGCTTCTTGGGGAGGCTCGGCTTTGATGTCACGGAGGCACCGCAGGCTTCTGCAAGGCATCCACAGGTAAATGCAGTTAGTTCCCCAGGCACTTGGAAATCTCTCTGGCCTTTGCGCACTTCAGTGACATTCTGAAAACAGACAAAGAAACAAAGTAACTGCTTTACTTGAAGAAAAAATACACCCTCAAATGCCAAACTCCCCGGACTACGCACACAAGGGATGTTGTTGAACATGACCTAGGGTATGAGTACTGAATGTATGTGCTGATGGTCATCTTTTTTCCTCCAGTAGAAATGAATGAATACCCTCCCTACCTTGTTCTTGTCTTTGTTTTACATAACAGAGCTGATTCTGTGGCCTGGAACCCCCACAAGATGCTGATGGCGGGGATTCAGTGCTGCGCTCTGCTCGTGAAAGACAGATCTGTGAGTATTTCTCTGATGGCCAGTGGGCACCGAGAGGGGTTCAATTACGGGGTTCGCAGAGGATTCATTTTTTGCTAATATCTTGGTGTTTTGGGCCAGATATTAGATGAAGGTCTTTGGTAAATGTTTATGCATCAACCGGACAGATAAATAGTCTCAGTTGAAAGAGGTAGTGTTTCTGCTTAAGTAATTTTATAAATTTGATTTAGGGTATTATGTAATCTCATTAGTTACAGCAAAATGGTCTCTCTTGCTCTCATTTGGATTATATTTTAAAAAATCAGTTTTAAACACTGCCAAGATTTTTTTTTTCTCCTTGATTAAGTCAGGGATTTAAGTTATCTTGAAACTTCTGCTCGCCGAGAAAGTGGAACAGATGTGTGTCATACATTAAATCGAATGCTTAATATGCGTAGCTGGGGCTTAACAGCCCGTTTATATGGGAAGATGTTAGTTCAGGGCTGATCATCAAACACGGATTTAGTAGAGGATTGTCTGCCTCTGCCTCAAGTGGTCGGTACTAAACTTCTTTTGGAATATTGGGGAGAGTCGAGAACTAGTCTGGATTACCGAGGGGTGAGTGGGCAAAGAGTCGCTGAGGTTGTTCTTGGCTAGAGGTATAAACTGTTTTCTGTGGGTTAAATAAGGATCCCTGTGGGACGTGGCCCAGGCTGGGAAGTGCCACTTCATTCTTAGAAATGCCTCCTCAAGATCTGTGTGCAGCGGGTGGTGATCTGCTCAGCCATCTGTTTACATTTTTTCTTAGGGGACTCCCTTTGCCAATGCTCAAGTCATTTTCTCTTTTTGAGGAATTTTATTTCAAATGAAAACCATATTTAAAATGTGAAGCCTAGTCTTGCCTGTGTGGATTGTCACACCTCTGTTTAAAGAAAGAATTGTGGTATTTATATGGCAGTGCCCGTTGTATTTTGAGATGACCAAACGGAGTGTCCATCGGAAACTAATGACAGATTCTGCATCTGTGGATAGGGACACTCTTGGGAACACAAATCTATTCCTGACTGTTTTGCAAGGCTGACTATTACTGTATTCACTTCCATTGAACTATTTTTCATTTAAATTTTTAAATTGTAGAGTGATGACTGCATGTTAAAACTGAATGGTAGTTTAAGATGATTCTATTATTTGTGAACAAAAGAACATACTCAACTTGCCCATAGTTACATATTTAAGACATGGCAGAGTTTAGGAGTAAATCCAGGTTTTCCTTTGGTCTAGATATAAGAACAAAAATATGTCAAGTATCCTGTATGGGCCAGGCATTTTTTATCTGCTTCTTCTCTGATGAGCCAATGTGAATGGCATTCTTATCTCTTGGTGTGCTGCTCTTAGGAGTGGAAAATTAAGACCAAAACTTTTATGACTACCCTTTTAAATAATTTTCTAACTTTCATACATTTTTCTTGTTGAATGATATTTGAGCGATTTAGTCAAGAATGTATTTATATTTATGTACTTGAAGCAATCTTAAATTTTCTGGATCATCTAGCTCTATAACAGGGGTTAAAATTGAATTTTTTGAAAAAGGATTTATCCCTGGATCTCAATAAAAACAATAATACCCATGTCTGCTCACTTGGCAAGAATTAAGAGGTTAGAAAAATCGCAGTCATTGTGTAAAGAATTGAGCACTTTCAAAAGTTGCCCTTTTTTTTTTGGATGAAAGACTGTTTTCAAATTCACTGGAATGGAGAGCTGGACCATGAGATATGAGAAGTTCTGTGTCGGCAGTTTTCTCTCTTTTGTACCTGTTTTCTACCTCTGTTGTTCTCTTTCATATTCATTTATTTATTCATTCTACCAACACTAACTGATTTCCTATGTAGGCCAGACGGTGTTGATTCTGAGCTTATAAACCAGACACATCTCCCGTAGTCAAAGAACGTATGATCTTACAGAAGAGACAGGGAACAAAATATACTTGTTTAATTCCTTAATTACTATTTTGATAAGTGCTCCAAAGAATGTGTCAGACACTGTTGATTATATATTCTGTGGCCATTCCAACCTCCTCCCCTTCTATCTCCCAAAATTCATCTAACCAATCTCCTTTACATCTAAAAGTCACCATATGGCACAGACATGGCCAATATGATGTGAGGGGCTTTTGCAGAACATTTTACTTTCTGCTAGAGGTGATACACACAAGAAGAGAGCACTCTTCCTCCTTTCCTACCTTGAATGCAGTTGTGTCACAACATGATGTATGGAGCTCTGATCTCGTAACCATAGACGATGACCCTACATCGAAAAGTGAGCATACACAGAATGGCAGAGCAGAAAGAGGAAATGTTTCGGTCTTGGATAATGATTCTGCAGTGTTGCACTAACCCTAGAAGTGCCTGCTTCCAGACTTTTTGTGATATGAGGTAATTAAATATGTTTATTGCTAAAACTACTTCCATTGGGTAATGTGTTACTTACAGCCAAATGCACTCCTCTCTGATACAGAAGGTAGTGTGCTACTCTGAATACACAGCAGGGAGATCTGAAATGTACTAGGTGGGGGATAAAAAAAACAACCATGCTCAAGTCTTTAAGAAAGAAGAAACTTTTTAATTTTAGGTACTGAAAGAAGTCATTGTTGCTGAAGCACAAAGAATAATGCCAAGACCAGCATGAGATAGGACTAAGAGTAGGCAGTGGATAAAACATGCAAGATCTTAGAGACCATTTTAATGATTTTAGACTTAATCTTCAGAATGGTGGAAGAATTTTAAAACCAGGGAGCAATCTGAAAATATTTTCATTTAAGGCAATTAATTGGAAGGGAATAAGAATGAATATAAGTAAAGGCTTACAGTACCCAAGCAAGAGTTGATGGTAGAGAAGATGGAATAATGTGATGAAATGTATATTTTAGGTATCAATAAGACAGGGCTGAATTACCAGTTGTACATGGGAGATGAGGAAGAAGCAGGTGTCATGGTTGACTTTCTGATTAATGATACAGCAACTGAGAGAATGGTCCTATTTAGGGAGATGGAGATCGCTAAAGGAGGAGAATCTTTGAGAGCGAAAAATCTTGGTTTTAGCATTGGCTCTGTAAAATTTGAAATTCCTATGAGCTATTCAAATGAAGATGTCGTGTCAGCCGTTGACATATGGATCCAAAGTTAGAAAAAGAGGTCTAAGCTGGAGAAATATATTAGGGCATTATTGACATGTAGATGAATTTTGAGGTCATAGGAGAGGAATAGATGGCCTCAGGAGGAACTTTGGAGTGGGAAAAGAAGAGGACCTAGAACTTAGCCCTGAAGAACGTCAGAGGCCAAAGATTGGATGGAAGAGGAACTCACAGTGAAGCCTGCGCTGCAGTAGCCAAGGAGACAGTAGGAAGACCAGGAAAGAGTGATGCTAATAAATCCAAGAGAAGAGCATTATGCTGAGAATGACTGTCATCCTTTGTGTCAAAGCTCAAATGTCCCTTCTTAAGGGTTCCCAGACTCCACAAGGTAAACTGGCATCTCCCCACCGTCCTTTCTCCAGCCCTGTTCCCTTCCTCTATAGTCCTCACCATGATTTGCAATTATGGCTTCTCATGTATTAACTTTCCCTCTGCCTAAAATGCGGGCTGTGTGATGATAGGAACTACCCTTTATATTCACCACTGTATTTCCAGTGCCTAGCAAGTTTTCACTGAACAAGGAAAAAATTTAAATTTGCTGAAAAATTTAATGAGTAAATAAATCAGAAGCCCTCGGAAATATCTGCCTTCATGCCAACAAAAACGAAGAGTTTCCCATCCCTCCCCTACCCCAAATTATTCCTGTTGAGAGCTCTGATTAAACAATGATTAAAATTACAGTGGATGAGCTTTATTGCCTTGGCCTTCCCACAGGCTTGAGCACGCCTCCGACAGTAATTGATGAACAGTGATTTCAGTTTGGACTGACTTCTCCAGTTAATGGAAGGGAATAAACTCCAGTTAAAGAAAGCAAATTACTTAGTGAATATACTTCAGTTTAGGAATAAACTAATTCCCTAATTTGTATCCTCAAAGCCCTAACATTCACAATGCTGCTTTTCTGATTGACCAGCTTGTGGTGTTTGCATTTTTAATTTCCTGTGTTAGTAAAAGGACTGCTTTAGAAACAAAGCAGAGCTTTGTTCTTGAAGTGTGCTATCACTAACCCTCTTTGCATCACAGGGATAAAAAGAAAATCAGGGAGTTTGAAAAAATATTTGTGATTTTAAATAGGTTGACTTCAGATGTCGATGCTGGGTCAATATGGCCATTTTGGGCCGATGACAATTTTGACCTAAAATAAAAGGTAATATATCCTTAGAATCAGTTGCATGGATGCAGAAAAATCTCAATATTGGCTATTTTGATGTTTAGTGTTTAGTAGAAGAACTTTTTAGCTTTATAAAACCTAACAGATATATGAGAACATGAAACATGATAATCAGGTGATTTTTTTTTTTTTTGCGTATAGATTATTCCTCTCCATTTGTACCTACTATTATCATCCAACATTAATCACAAGGACTTCCTGTATAACCTTTCAATGACAGACAGTTTAAGGGTCTTTTAAAAAAAAATTTTTTTTTTATTCTCACCCGAGGCCATTTTTGCATTTATCTTCCGATAGAGTGGGCGGGAGAGAGGGGGGAAGAGAGAGAGAGAGAAACATCGACGTGAGAGAGACACATCAACTGGTTGCCACCCACACGACCCCAACCAGGGCCAGGGACAAGCTGCAACCAAGGTACATATCCTTAGCGGGAACCGAACCCGGGACTCTCTGGTCCGCGGGCCAATGTTCTAACCGCTGAGCCAAACTGTCCAGGGCTAAGGGTTTTTTTTTTAAATAGAAGACTGTTGATACTATAAATTTTTAGTATTATGTCCATTTTTGTAGGTTTATTTCAAAAGTAATGCATGTTTATTATAGGCAAATAAGAAAATGTAGATATGGAGAAGAAGAAAAAGAAATATAGAATACAAATAACGGAAGATGGCTTTTTATATATTT